TTTCTCACATAAAGATCAAAGGAAGTGATAAAACCTCATTCCATGCTTTTCATTTGAGGCAATTACATGCAGGTCACCAAAAACGTTGCTATCTACAAATGAAGTACCTTCTTTCATCCATTATTCAGATTATAGCTTAAACAAAAAAAAATAAATAAAAATAATATCTAATTTAGAATTTAGGCAATTATAGAGAGGGCACTCAAAACAATGCTGTGAACAACTCAAGCACCCTATTTCATCCATTTCTCAAATTCTCATTCAAATATCAAAGGAAGTGATAAAATCTCATCCTGTAATTTTCATTTGAGGCAAATACATACTAGACACCCTAAACGTTAGTATCTACAAATGAAGCGCCCTCTTTCATCGTTTTTTTTCTTATTCTCGCTCAAAAAATGAAAAAAAAAATATGGAATTTAAAATTTAGGCAATTACAGACAGGGCACCCGAAACAATACTATGAACTAATCAAGCATCATATTTCATCCATTTTTCAAATTCTATCTCAAACATCAATGGAAGTGATAAAACTTCATCCCATATTTTTCATTTGAGACAATTACATAAAGGGCACCCGAAACAATTCTATCTACAAATGAAGCATCCTTTTTTTCATCCACTTTTCTAAATTCTCGCTCACACAAATAAAAATTAAAAATAATATGTAATTTAGAATTTAGGCATTTACAGACAGGGCACTTGAAACAATGCTATGAACAAATAAAGTACCCTTTTCCATCCATTTTTCAAATTCTCACTAAAACATCAAAGAAAGTGATAAAACTCATTCCCATATTTTTCATTTGAGACAATTACATATAGAGCACCTGATGTATTGCTATCTACAAATAAAGTACCCTCTTTCATCCATTTTTTCAGATTCGTACTCAAGAAATCTAGCACATACTTTCATCCATTCTACAAATTCCTACTAAACATATCAAGCACCACTCTTTCATCCATTCTCTAGAACAATAATCCACATAAAGAAAATTCACATATAGAAAACAATTCCGTTGAAAAATGCATAAAGAAAGCCATTCCATCAAAAAATTGTCAAAAAAAAACTAATAAAGAAAGTCATTCCATCGTATATTACCACATGAATTACTTACAGAGCACAAAAACCAGGGAGATCAGATGGAGGATCAAGAGGAGAAAGGCAATGCTAAGCATGAGAGAGGAGCAAGAGGAGAAAGGCAATGCTAAGCACGAGAGAGTGTGAGAGGTGGCACACTAAGGCAGAAATCATGTGAAGGAACGTAGTCGAGAGGGGCAGCGAGGTAATAATCATGCAAAGAAACGTGGGCAGTGAGGTCGAGCCCGTAGCCACATTTATAAGAAATATAGATTGGATTATTGTGATAAGCAGTGGTGACGCGGTAACCAAACGGATGAGCCGACATTTTCAAAATACACAACACTAAATAAGCTGCCTCACACAAGCCCTTAGGCTTGTTGGATTTTGAGACCCTCGCTTGACTATAAGCTCGCTAACTTCAACATTCATGTGACCTCCCAAATTTAATCAGAAATCTTCCAAAAGTGTTTTAATGGCTCGATCTGAGCTTTATTTGACTTAGATTACATCAGTTTTGGTATCATCGTGTCCATCAACAAGTCAATTGGTTTGACTATAAGTTTGCTTAAATCGAAGCACTAGATGACTCTTAATTGAACTTTGAATGTTTTTTACTACATATATATGCGAATGACCTGACTAATTGGTGCGACCTCTGGCGTAAGTCCCTCGAGTCGGGGCTTCGAATCTCGTGGCGCGTGCTCTTCAGATCAGATACAAGCACACCTGGGTTTTCAACCCATTAGGAAAATCGATAGTTGGTGTCCACTGGACCAATTATCGATTTCATCTTTAAATATATATATGTGTGTGTGTGTGTGTGTGTGTTGTACAATTTCATGGGGATATAGTGTTAATTTAACATCTCAATATTTTACAAAAATCCAACACACATAGATGATTGAAATGTAGTGGGAGAAGACGCAATAATTTTTAAGTAGAAATACCCAAAATAGGAGAAATCACAAGGCATAACACATACAAATTATTCTGCTTTAAATGTGTAATTACAAGGAAGCACAAGTGTCCTGCAATTTGGAAGGAAGTCTTACAGTGTACACAATGTACAATCCTTGTTCATGTGCAATGTACAAAACGCTTCAGGATTTTAAAGAATGTTGCTATATTCTAAGTACAAAGGTTGAAAGTTTTCGTTGCTAGAAGTTGTCGCATCTTCAATATAATGTTATTCACTACTCTGTATACATGCATGATACTTAGTAACCTCATATTCAGAATACTTCTTTACACCATTTTCAAAGATACGTCGTTACACAACAGAGTTACTCAGCAACGACGATGCGACCCAGTGGTGGTTGATGACAGTCGGTGAGCGGTGGTCGATAGTGGTGGACGGTTGCAAGACTAAAAGGTTATCATCAAGACTTCTGTCCAGAATAACTCTGAAATTTGACACCTTATTCTACTCCACCCTCATGTGAATCATGGAGGTCTATTTATAGCCAATAACTCTCTTAACTACCGACCAAATGACCCACGTTGATTCTTCTTGATAATACAGAGTTTTGTCATGACTTGAGGACCTTAGTGATCGTGGAATTATATGTTCTTGGATTCATTGGATTTCATTCATCAAGATGCTTGATTTGGTTATAAGTACGTTAAATTTGAAGTTCATTAGATTCTCCAATTAACTGCCCAAAGCCTCTAATTATGGTTTAATAGCTTGATTTGGGCATGATCGGGCTTAGATTGTACCAATTTTGATATCATTGAGTTCGTATTATCGAGAATGTTAGCGTGACAATAAATTTGCTAAAATTAAAGCTCCAAATAATTTTTAATTTAAATTTGAATATTATTTTTAAAAAAAATGTTTCAAGATTCAAATCAAATTTTGAAATATTGTGGGAACATATTAGTTGTTTTAATATTTTTGGGCAATTTAGTTTGTATGGTTCGAAAATAGTTATACTAACAAAAATAGTGGTAAAAATCGAAAAAATTAGAAAGATTTGATGTTTGGCCTGCAAGGACTGGGGCGGTGGCGACGGTGGCGACTGCTAGAGGAACGTGCGGGAGAAAACTGTGTTGGTTATCAACGGGCGATGAGGGTCAGAGTAGGCGACTCGGGTGGTCGCAGATCAACTTGGTCACGACGGGTCGCGGGACAGAGCAAGCATGTGTGGCTTTCGGGGCCAATGTGGGTTAGGTTGGGCCACGGTATGTGTTCAACGGTAACTGAGCGAGCCGGAGTGGGTTGGGTAAGGTAAAAATGAATCATATAGGGATGCCGGAGAAGCTCTTTATTTCGTAGCCATGGAAAGAGAAGGCGTTGAAAAGATGTCAACCGGATTCAGGGTTACTTTCGAAAGGAGACGGTTCCAAATGGAGATACCTTCAGATGCGCCTTCAATCGAAGAATGAAGGAAAGCCGAGAATTAAACTCAGCGGAAACGATAAACGAAAGCGGATTGGAGAAGACAATCCTGCAGATCTTCTACATGATGATGGGGTGTTAAACGGTGTATTATAGCTTCCCTTAATATAAAGGCTAAACTTTCAAACTTATATTTTTAAAAAAAGTTTACTGTTTTAAATTGACATTTTAAAAATAAAATCTTTGTTATTTTGCCACATCAGCAAGTCGTCGCTGACATCAGAAAGACTTTACCTTGTGAGCAGCCAAGAAAAAAATCCTTTATAAATTATTTAGTGAAGCCTAGGTGCTTGGCCTGACAGCACCCTTGCAGTTCTTCCTAGATATATTGGCCAGAGGACGAGCAGGCCAAGCCACCAAGCACCGTCTTCCCTTACAAATCCCTCGCATTATTATTCCATCTTAGAATGAGCATCATTAATATTGAATCTGAATGTGAAAATAAAAGTTTTACTATCATAACTTAAGCTACAATTTTTTTTTAAAATATGGTTTTCATAAGAAAAAAAACAAAAAAACAATTGGAAAATGTGCAAGAAAAGAAGCATATAGGAGGGCGGGGATCCTTGGAAAAAATATACCAATCCAATGGTGTGGCGAGAGTAATCGTATGCAGCTGAAGAGCGATAGTAAATGAACAAGGATTACGCGCGACGAGACGAGTATTGGATGCGTAAGTAATTTGACCATCCAGAAAAATTAGGAAAATTTACACACGTAGCACCCAATTCTTATAGATTTATCTATCTCAAATCTGAACTTTTATGTAAAAATCAAAATTTGAGCGCATATAAATGCCCAAGAAATTTAAAAAAATTCTTCTAACAAAGTAACCAGATTGTTGATGGTAAAGCCGTCGGGATTTTATCATTTGATGTGATAAAGCCGCGGCTGATATGTCTATTTTGTTGATTTATAAAAAAAAAAGTTTTAAAATGTCAATTTAAAAAATAATATTTAAAAATTTTGACCTAATATTAATGTTTGGTGTCTGGAATATGTGATGTGCACCGTTTCTGGAGTCTTGAATGTAAGAACCATTAAAAAATTTGCCTTCCCATGCATTGAAAACCGAACGTTCATGAGATTCCATGTGCTTGCCACTCCCATCGCAGCACGAAAGAAGGATTCCCAAGAAGAGCAAAAGTAAGGAGAACGCATTCTAGTAACTTACAGCTTCCGAAAAATCTGATGGCATTAATAAACTTCTCGACTCGACCACAAAGCAGCAACCCAAGTCCATAGCCTAGGCCGTGTTTGGCTGCATCAACGATTTAAGTTAAATAGAATTTAATAAATTTTGATTTTTCAAATTCTTTCAACAAAGAAAAGCTTCGAAGTCATGGTAGTAAATTCAGATTTACGGCAGGACGAAGACGGAACAAGAGAAAACATACACAGAGTAGGAGAAAACATAGACAGAACATGAGAAAATTCAAAGGAAATGTTCAATTTAAAGTTTAGTTATTTTACCCTCAAGTGGATTTAAACTAAATTCGTTTCAAAATCCGTCTATTAGTAGAGTACCAAAGACAGCCCTACTTCCTTACCAAAAGAGAACAGAAACTCCACTCCAATGGCAGCCCTCACCGCAACTCTTCTCCTTTTAGCCCACTTTGTAGCCACAGCCTTCTCTTTAGAGCTCCACTTTTACAGAAGCACATGCCCCCAAGCAGAGATCATCATCAGATCTGTGCTGCACCGCCACGTTCAACGAGACCCATCAATCTGCTGGACTTCTACGCCTTCACTTCCATGACTGCTTCACCACTGTAACCTCCCTTCCTTTGTTTTCACATTCCTTAAGAAAAAGCTTGATGATGACAATGATAATTAAAAGCTATATTGACTTTCAGGGCTGTGATGCTTCCGTACTCATCGACAGCACTGGTGATAACATGGCAGAAAAGGAGGCTCCACCAAACTTGTCACTTCGAGGGTTTGAAGTGATCGACGATATCAAGAAAGAACTTGAGAGAGTATGCCCGGGAATCGTCTCCTGTGCTGACATACTTGCTCTGGCAACAAGGGATAGTGTGACTTTTTCTGGAGGTGCTGCGTATGCTCTGCCGACTGGGAGGAGAGACGGGAAGGTGTCCAGAATGGCTGATGTTCACATGCCAAGCCCTTCCATCTCTGTTTCTCAAGCCTTGGCTGATTTCCTGGCCATCAATCTTGATTATGTGGATCTCACTACACTGTTAGGTAAAGTTCGATATTCGTTGATGTTTTAGAGTTATCATGGATACATGGATAAATCAGACTTCTATTATGAATATTGCTTTAATTTTTATAGGAAGATTTTCATAAACACTACTTAAGTTTTATGTATTTACAAACCTAAAATACTAGCTTCAGTTCCTACATTTTTGTTATTTTGCATATGCATGATAAGATATTTTATACTTTTTAAAATTTTAAAAAGTGATATTTTGTTATGATGTGAAGGTTTGGATGGTAATATGAGAATTGGTAGTTCATATTTGAGTGCTCCTATTTTATAAATAAAGTCATTGAGGCAAGTCAACTTGGCTTTGGAAAGGCATCAATAATTTTCTTTCTTGGTTCTCGGGCCGGGAAATAACTGGCTAGAATTTACTTAAATTGTTAATTTGGTGTTAATTTGGGTGGCTCTCTTTATGCTTCAAAGATACTTTTTTAAGAACAAAACATAGTAAAAATATTTAAATTTAAAAAAAAAAACAAAAAAAAAGTTAAATTATAAAAGGATGGATCATAAGCACCTAAGCTCGATAGTCTTAGAAGTTATGGTAGGTATTGTCAATTCCTTGTCGATGTTTATAAACTTGAAATTAGTATTGCATGTCATAACAAATTAATATATGACATGGATCTCGAGGCATGACACGAATCTCAAAGCAAATTTTAAATCGTGAATATTCAAACTTCAATTTAAAATCATCTAGAAATCTAATTTCAACGATCTTATAGTCAAAAGGACCAGCTCGACGAGACAAAGCAATGACCCCAATATCTATCCAATATGAGTAACATCAAGTCTAGCTCTTGCCATTAAACCATTTCTGAAAGCTTATGGTCCCTAATTAGACGGTCAAACTGATTCCAATTTTGTCACCTTATGGTCAAATCAACTATGTAGAGTTGATCAACAAAAGACAAGGTAAGAGAAGGGCAAGACTTCTATTATATTGATTGGTGGTCGCATCATGTATAAGATGCCCGTAAGACTTCCACTTTGCCCAAAATGTGGGCCAACAATCAAATTAAGAGAAATGCAAGATTGCTCCTACATGAAACAGTTGTGAACTATGGACAATCTTTTGGCAGATGTAAAGTAATCACCATAATCAGCTCTCATAATGAAGAGATAGTAGAAAGCGCACTTTCATTATTGCTCCAGAAACTCAATTACAAAATACATTTGCTTTGAAAATTATTTTCCTCATAAAGTACATTGCATACATGAATAGAAAAAGAGGCAAAACAAAATATTACTTCAAATATTTCTCATTGTTAGGGCCATTGGGTGAGATCCCTCTGCATCAATTAGTAGGTAAGCTCCTCCTTTGTAGACTTTATCAATCACAAATGGTCCCTCCCAAGTGGTCTTAAACTTATCGCGCATTTGATGGTGAGTCACAATTTGGTGGCGTAAAACCAATACCAAGTCTTCAACTATGAACGCCCTTGGTCTCACTAATTTATTGTGAGCTCTAACCATTCATGCGCTGTATAGCTTGAGGTTTTGCTAGTGTTGTAGCCTAAACTCCTCAAGGTTATCGAAATCCTCCAGCCTAAGTTGGATGTTGTAACTTCTCCTAATCCTAATCTTTTGATATGTAACTGAACGATCCGCTAACTGAAGAGTTACAGAAATAGGTGAGACTTCTCCTAATCCTAATCTTTTGAAAATTGATAAAGGCATAAGATTAATGCTAGCTCCCAAATCACATAAAGCTCTTCCATAAAATTTTTCACCGATAGCACACGGTATAGTGAAACTACTTGCCTCTTTTAATTCTTCCACACGGTATAGTGAAACTACTTGAATCTTTTAATTCTTCAGGAAGCTTTTTCCTGAATAATTGCACTACACTCTTCGCTAAGTGCAACATTTTCATTATCAGTGAACTTCCTTTTCTTGTTAAGAATATCTTTCATAAATTTCACATAATTGGTCATTTGCTCTAAAGCTTCTACGAAGGGAATATTTACCGTTAATTTCTTAAGAATTTTCAAAAACTTGGAAAATCGTTTATTTTGCTTGTGTTGTTTTAATCTTTGTGGAAACGGTGGTGAAAGTTTCTCCACAGTAATTTTCATTGGTGTAAATGGATATTATAATTTTGCGTATTCATGATCCTTTTCTTTTTCTGTATCCACTTTCTCTTTTTCAGTTTTCGTTTCTTTCTGTACTCTTGTTTTCAATTCTTTTCCTCTTTGTAATTGTATCGTTTTTTTTTGTTCTTTTCCTTGATCTTTATGATTTGGTTCCACGGTACTAGGAAAAGTTCCTAATGTTCGGTTACTAAGCGCAGTAGCGATGTGCTCTAATTGATTTTCAATATTCTTAATAGCAGTTCCTTGATTTTGAAACCTACAACAATGGCAATTTTACTTCTTAGTGAAGGATTTCCATGGATCCAAACATTTGAGCATAAGGAGTAAAGCTGGTGGGGGTATGATATATTGTATGATAAGTCATAATGCCTTGTAGAGCTTCTCATGCCACTCCTTTTTGTTAGTGTGAAGGATTTTCTTCATGAGGTTTACTAAGATCTTATTGAAAGCCTCAGCTGGACTATTTGCTATTGGGTAATATATCATAGAATATCGTCAATCAATCTGATGTCAAAGATCAAATTAATTAATTTTGGTGTTTTTAAAAGCTAGTTGGTTATTAGAAATGATACAATGTGGCACACCAGATCAGCACACAAAATATTTTTCAGAAATTACTGCACGTTTTAAGCCTTGAACTCCCTCAATATAATAGCTTCTGCAACCTTGGAAAAGTAGTTGATAGCTACAAGTATAAAATGGTGTTCTTTAGAGGACAGAGGGTCGATAAGCCCAACAATATCAATTTTAAGGCCTAAAAGGGCTAAGAAGCTACTGTTGGATGCAAAGCATTTGAGGTCAAATGGGGTACAAAGCTGAAGACCTGGCAATCATGACACAACTTGACATAATCTATGCAGTCAAGGGTCATTGAAGGACATTAGTAGCCAAGTCTCTTGATCTTAGCTTTCATCTTGGGCCCTAACTAATGGAGCCCACAAAGTCCCTCATGGAACTCAGCTAAGATTTTCTAAATCTCATCCTTTCCAACACATTACAGCTTAATTTCATCAAATGAGGATCAATAAAGGGCACTATTCAAGATGGTAAATGACAATGCTCTCTTTTGAATCTGAGTGGCAAGAAAGTGATCATCAAGGAGTATTCCCCTCATCAAGTATGAGTTCCCCATCATCATGTGGCTCATAAAAAGAAAAAAGGAAAATAACTTTATTACCTGAAGGGGTCCCTCCTAATGGATCAAGACATACCGGTGACAGGGCTCTTCTATCTTTGATCACAACTGTCATGGGATCACTCGTAGGACTCAACTGCTTCTTAACAAGATTAGCTAGAGCATTGGCTTTTCTGTTTAGGAATTAGAGATCCTAACTAAAGTAACATCAGGAATGTGCTCTAGCAATGTCATAACTCTCTTATGATAAGCTAAGAGGTCCAGCTTAAAAATTTTGCAGGCTCCCAACACCTGATAAATAATGAGTGGGGAATTCTCATAAATCTTGCTCTATTTGCTATTCATTTGGATGGTTAAATCTAATTAAAGAATCAAGGCATTGTATTCTGACTCATTATTAGCATGTGGTTCTATCAAGCTACAAGAATAATAAAAAATACCAGACTCAGAGGAAATGAAAATGAAGTTGATACCGACCTTCACCCTTAGGAGAGATCCTGAGGAATCTTCCTTTAAGGATGATGCCCCCATCAAAATACAACTCCCACTCTGAGGAATTAACGAGTAAAAAATGCTTTTCAGGGAAGTAATCTGTTAACGGTGAGTAAGCTATGATTGGATTTGCTGTTAGAAAAATTAGCCAAAGTTTGTCTTTTGACGGCTCACTGAGTGACATATGAAATGTCAAACTAAAATAGCAAGATGTTCAATCTCGCTAATTGCCCAGCTAGATTGGGGTGAGTCATCATATATTGTGATGGGTTCACACTTGATATCATATTGATATGGTACAATAGCTTGTAATGTATTAGATTTTGAATTGAGAATATCAATGTCAAATAGTGTTTCTCGATCAGCGGATATTTTAGTTCAGTCAGGATGAAACCCCTATTGAGGTAGTATAAGGCACCCTCTTTCTCGTCATCATTATCATAGGCTAACAAGGCTCCTAGTGACTCATCAAGAGTGACAATATAGAGTATAAGAGGCTTCCCCATGATGGAAGCAGCCAGATCTAGGGGATTTAGAAAGTAACGGTTGATATCATCGAAAGTGTCCTGACACGTTATATCTTATTGGAAACGGGCATCCTTCTTGACCAAAAATGAGAAAGGATGACAACGACTAAAGAGATTTGAAATAAACCTTTGAATGAATGCTAACATTTCTTGAAGGGTGCAAAATTACATGAAACTTTTAGGAGGTTCCATCTCTATGATGGATTTAATCTTGCTAGGGTCAATCTCTATACCCTTTTGCTGAATTATGAAGCCTAAGAACTTCACAGAAGAAATGTTGAAGGTTCACTCTAATCCCGACTGTTTATATGCAATAGTATAACAATGACTTTAATTATAGTTTTCACTTATTTCCTTTGCAACAATGCCAAAAACTTGATTATGAAGAAAATAATAATTTAACTTTTTAATTTTTATATATATTGGGATATTACGTTACTATACATATCATTATCAAATAATATAGGACTTTTTAATTAAGACCTGAATATCGAACCCACGGCGAAAATACGCAATATGCCCTTTTGAACAGTAACTTTCTATTCTAAAAATACAATTAATTAAACTACAAATATTTTCACAGTATTAAAATTCAAATCTTTTGGAATTTTGGATATTTTGACAGAACAATAATAATTTAAAAAGATAACTTGAGTTTATGTAAAAGAAAAACACTAAATTTGATAAATATTTTTCTTCTTATCATGAATTAATAATAAGTATAAGAA